TAGCTTTTTTAATCATATTATTCAAGCTGTTAGATAGCTTCCTGCTTTCATAAAAAAAAAAAAAAAAAAGATCCACCTGGGCCGTTCTGGTATCAGATCCTAGTTGCTAAGAGTTTAGCCAGATCACAGTGAAACCCCAAGTCGCGTAACTGTAAGTGCCATTGAAGCCGTGAGTTAAGGCGTGTTAGGCCAAGTGTAAACCGTTGACAGTGATCTGTGAAATGGATAAATTATTTAGTAACCTGTCTCGAAGTGCTAGTTCTAGCTCTATGGAGAGAACTCTTAGAAAAAATAAAAATAAAGAAATAATCTTAGCAGAAAATTTAGATGCTAGTTTAAGTAATTGGAAATTACCTACTGTGTCTTCTAATATGATATATAAATCATCTAATATCCGATATATAATCAAATACAAATTTTCTTTTAAATCGGATTATGTGGTTAGACTGGGAACTGTGGAACAAGCAGTTCCAATTCATGAAGGCTCTCAATCTTTTCCTTTGTTTTGTCAAGAATTAATCACAAAACATCAAGAAAAATATAACTTTTTGCATATTGGCATGGTTCAAGTAGCTTTAAAACCAGCCACAAGATTAGGACTGAATACAGCTGCAATTGTATGTCTAAAATTGCCTGATAATAGAGATAGTCTTTAGGCAAATAAAGATTAGTGAAATGATTTTTTGTATATAATTTTGCAGCTTCATGTGGAATCATGAGACGATGTTCTTTAGCCATTGGAATTAAGAAATTATGACTTATTGGAATTAATGGAAGACCTTCTTCATTCGAATTGAGGATGCTAGCTTCATAAGCATCGGGCCTAGGCTTTTCAGGATCTTGAGCCTGGCTGGATGTTTCAGCAAGTCTTCGTTTTGAACTCATGTTCGGCGACTGTTCTTGTTCCTGTAAGAAATTCTCTGGTTAGGAAATCAGGTAAAGAATTATTTTCTCCTTTAATGAATTCAATATCAAAATCAAAACAGATAAAATTGACTTGCCACGTGCAATATTTGTTTAAGACGCTATATTCTTTACGTCTTGAATATAATATGTCTTTAGCACTTTGCAATCAAAACTCGAAATCAGGAATTTTTGATTTAAAAGATCCTGATTCAAATTTTTGACACAAAGTAACATAGATAAGATTTTCTTTTTAACTGTCGAGTAATTAATTTTCTTGGGCCAGTCCAAATGCAAGTAAAAGCGCACAAAGCTTCCTTCATTAAACGCTGTTTTAAGATTCCTCCGTATCCATATTTGGATGCGTCAGTTTCCACTTAATTCTTAAAACGCCCAGCCCACTGGATTGAGGATGGCCAGACAAGGAAGGCTTTACTTTTGCTTTTATTTTTTGACATGCTAATGTATGCTCCCGCTGTCCAGTACAGGTGGGCACTTTCTAACAGCCGTTCAATTCAAATAATGGCTTGGCATCTTGAGCCAATAAAGGATAAAAATCACTGACATAATTCAGACATCCAAGAAATCGCTGGAGTTGAGTTTTTTCTTTAATTTCATCAGGAAATTTATCTGCAAACTCAAGAGCACGATTAATAGGAATAATAGTTTGATTGGTAATATTATGGCCTAAAAAACGAATATTCGTTTGAAATAGCTTGATTTTCTTGACAGATACTACTAATCCATTGTGTTGAGCTATATTGATGAAAATATTGAGATGCTTAAAATGTTTTTCTAGGTTTTCGGAAAAGATTAAAACATCATCAATATAGACTGCTATTGAAAAAGTATATACAGGGTGAAAAATATCATTCATTATTTCTGAAATTCATGAGGAGCATTCTTTGAGACGCGAAGGGCATTCATTCCATTCGTATTGCCCAAATGGGACGCATGGTAAATGCCGTTTTATATTCGGTCTTGCTCAGCTATTTTGATTTGCCCAATAGCCTGACTAATATCAAATTTTGAAAAGATTTTGAGCCCTTATAGAGCCGATTTAATAAATCTCGTTTTATTACGGCTAATGGATAACGAAGTCATCTATAGAGCCTTATTAAGTGGTTTATAATTAATAACGAGTTCTGGAACTACACGTTCGCAATTCTGCAGTTATTTCCACACTAAAAAGGCTGCACAGCTCACCATGGGCTCTTACTAGGCGAAATTAGACCCTTTTCTAAGCAGGCTACAAATCTTCTTTTTTGCAAAATTTCGAGATGGCGAGGCCCATCAGCAATGGGCCGGCCCCTTTGTTGGTATATCCTTTTCATTAAACTCCGGCTCGTAGGGTTAATGTAACAATATGTTTTTATGGGCCCAAGAAGCAGTTTGGATGTCGGAACAAATGGTGGTTGCTATTTTCTTTTGAATTTCATCCATTAATTTGTTGTTGATATTTGGTTTCTTCATTTTTCTGTATATCTTGCTTTAATTTCTTGAGCTTAGTGATAGTAAAGAAATTCTTTGCTTGAATTCGACTTCCTGTTTTAATAATATATTTCTTAACCTTGGGTTGAGTAAGAAATTAAAATAACTTCTTGCCTTCAAGTCAGTAGTAATTCAATGCTCCGATATTTTCTTATCGGATATAACATATGTAAAAAAACGGATTACGCAAGGAGCTAACAGGATGAGTAATCCTTTTACCCATAATAAAGGGTAATTGAAAAGCAATACTACCGTGTATTGCAGATAGCAGTATTTGAAGTTTATAGCGTGACGGCCATTTTTCTGCGCATCCGGCAGTAATTAAGTTCCTTCCATAGTTTTTTCAAAAATATCTTGAATGGAACAAAGGCCTTCATTAAACAATTCAAGGTCAGCACCTGAATCGATTAGGCAATAGTTTCAAGATATATATTCTTTATGCACGAACAATTGGTGACTTTTGGTATGCCACTTTTGTGTGATATCTTATACTAGATTCACATATTGCAACTGATTAATTGTGGGTGGCGTTTGAGACTCTTCATATTCTTCTTTATTGATAACTTCCAAAAATGCCACTCTGTCTTTTAACTGTTGGATTTCATGTTTCATTTGATTCATTTCTCCTCTTAATTCTTTAAGAGTAGGTTCTCTATCTGCTTTTGTATTTTTGATTCGTTCAAATATTTCTTGAATATTATAAACAGGTTTTGTTTCTTCTAAATTCTTTAGAAGTGAAGTCTCTTGAGAAGTAGAAGCTCTATCTTCTGATATATTCAAATATGTTTCTAAGTGTATTCTTTTTTTTAATTCTTTTTTATTTTCCGAATTAAGAGGAGAAATGAATCAAATGAAACATGAAATCCAACAGTTAAAAGACAGAGTGGCATTTTTGGAAGTTATCAATAAAGAAGAATATGAAGAGTCTCAAACGCCACCCACAATTACCGACAGCTCTTCTTGTTCGGATTCATCTGTGTAATCTAAAGCGTTGATTTCATTTTCCTTTTCTGAATCTGTTTCAGTAAGAAATAATTTTGCTAAAGAATTCTTGAGCTCTTCATCTATAGTAAGAGCTTGAATCTGTTGTTTCATACGGCACTTATTTGCATAATGTCCTATACGTCCACAGCGATAACAAGCTATCTGAGATTTATCTTTTCGTTTACTTTTAGGGCTTGTTTTTTGTTTCTTGTGAGGTTTCTTGCGAAATTCCCTATTCTTTTCATAATATTTTTCTTTTCTTTTGGGCCTAAAAGGACGCCTAGTTTTTTCTGTTTTCTTAGAGGATTTCCATAAGGGTTCATACCCAAATTGTTCACAAAAATCACCTAATATTCTTTTTCTTTTTCTGGTTACCTTTTCTTTCTTCATCTGTCTATGTATTTTTATTTCATTACATAGCGCTAACCCTTCAGTGACTATTTCAGATGCTAATTCCCCATACGTATAAGTATGATATGGTATAATACCATTATTTCTTTCTTTAAGTTTATTGCGAACTCTTTCGGCAAAAAGCGAAGGTAATCCCGAAATAAACTTTTCTTTCCCCTAAACAGTCATATTGACTATCTTCTCGAGCTAAGACAGCAGTTTAGAAAGACATCTTTATACCATTTATAAATGGATAAATCTGGGCGAGCGTAAATGTCATGAGCTTGCTCATGAATACTATCTAAATGCATTGTAGTGGAGGCCTATAAAGTGTATCCTATGGTATAATAACAGAGTATTTACTGCTTCTGGGTTTCTCTAATTTTGTTCTTTGAGTGGATGGCATCACATTATTCTTCTCTTTTCAGCAAGCATTAATTATTTGATTCTTTCCTTCTGAGTTGTCGAGAAATCCACCAACCTTTAAGTTGCCAGCAAAATCCCGCAACTAATAGCTTGCTTATACTTCTATCATTATTTGCCTCTAGTGACGACACGCCTGTAGGCGTACATTAGTCCATGTATCGTAAAACATCTGATCTGATAATCAGATAAACCATCAAATTCCATTCACTATAGAAATTCCCACATAATTGGACATAATTAAATCGCAGGTTTCCTCATACTGCGCATATTGACGGAGAAGACGAGTATAATGGTTGCATATCTACAATCTCCCCTCTTGCTCGAATTTTATTAATTGTATTCGCTTCTTTAAATAGTTGTTCCAGATGTATAATATCTTGATCTGGTTGTTTTTCTTCTTTATCCGATTCTTCTTTATCGGATTCTGTGGGAATCGTTAATGGAACTATATTCTTTTGTTTATTATCAATATTTAATTTCATAAGTCTTTTCGAAATTTCTTCAACTAATTCATCTTGTTGGTTGCTTAATTTAAATTCTTCTGGTTGAACTGGAGGCTTAAATAAAACTGTTTTTTCTTGACTTCCTACTTTGGAAGTAGTAGCTTCTTGGGCTAAAGTAGGTTTGAAATGAAGCAATTGATTTTCAATACGGTTTAGTTGATCACCTACAGTAGCTAAGTGGAGATTAGATTAGTAAAGTTATGTTGTCGTTGGCAAATCAAAATGCAACACTGTTAGATGTTCGGACTTGAATGGTTGGTGCATTTCTAGCTTCCTATACGCTTGGAAGAAACGACCTCCATAATGGTCATTAATCCTGATTGTGCGATTATAATGGCTAAATCATCCTTGGTTGAACAGGGTTTCAGGAAGGTTGACCCAGATCGCTGTGAATTTGCTAATGAGGGGTTCTTGAGAGGGCAAAAACATCTCTTGAAGAGTACATCTAGGAAAAAGCCTCTTCAGATACACAGTAATCAACCACCTCTAGTTCAGAGCTCTAAAGTTCCAGCAGTCATTGAAGTTGGGAAATTTGGACTAGAGGAAGAGGTTGAAAGACTCAAGCGGGACAAGAATGTTCTTATGCAGGAACTCGTTAGATTGAGGCAGCAGCAGCAAGCTACAGACAACCAGTTGCAGACTGTGGGGCAACGCGTGCAGGTAATGGAGCAGAGACAGCAACAAATGATGTCATTTCTTGCAAAGGCCATGCAAAGTCCAGGGTTCTTGAATCAGCTTGTGCATCAGAACAATGAAAGCAAGAGGCCCATTACTGGAGGCACTAAAAAGAGGAGACTTCCTGGACAAGTAGAAGAAAATTTGGCAAGCAAGGTTGGCAATAGTCCTCCAAATGGACCGATTGTGAAATTCCACTCTTCAATGAATGAAGCAGCAAAAGCAATGGTGCACCAGATCCTGAAGATGAATTCATCGTCTAGGCTGGAACCATCAATAAACAACTCTGGTCCTTTCCTGATTGGCAACCTTCCTTCTTCCAATGCATTAGACAGCAGCAACACTTCAAGTCGAATCTCAGAATTGATGCTTCCGGAGGTTCCACCAGCTTCTGGGCCATCAAGTTTTCCTATTGATTCAGGGTTTTCTGTCAGTCATACATCTGATGCCATATCTGAGGTCGAATCCTCATCATGTGCTGTAAGTGACCTAAATATGGACCATCTTTCTGAGATGAGAGTGAATAACTCGGTGCAAGATACGGTTCTGCCTAATTTCAATCGGAGAGAAATCTTTCTGAGATGAGAGTGAATAACTCGGTGCAAGATACGGTTCTGCCTAATTTCAATCGGAGAGAAGCAATTGTTCCAGAAAGCGCCATTGGAATTCCTAATACAAATTTTGTGGGTTCTGAGATTGAGAGTAAAGAGAAAATCAGTCCACTGTCATCTGTTTTGGACATGGAAATGCCTGTAGAAGTGCCAACTGACGCCATTTTTCCCAATCAAGATACAGAGATTTTGGTGGATGGGATCCCTAAGCTTCCTGGCATTAATGATGTGTTCTGGGAACAGTTCCTTACAGCGAGCCCAGTCACAGGAGACACAGATGAAAGTAATTCAAACTCACCACAGAGCCGCATGAACTGGGAACAAGAATTACAACCATGGGAAGAGGATGGATGGGACAATATTCTAAACATGAATCATCTTCCAGAACAAATGGAGCTTCTTGCATCAGCAGGCACAAGGGGGTGAATTTTCACCAATTGTATATACTTCTCTTGCTATCAAAGGTAAATTTTTAAACCACCATTTACAATGATAAGCTGGAGTCTGCCCCTTCTCTCCATATAACAAGCTGGTTGTATAACTAAGTTTTGCCTACTTCTAGATTCCCTGCATTGGATCAGACTATTTCTGCATAGCTATTGATGTCATAGGATGTGTTTTATACCATTTTGCCCTCTGCTATTCACTTTGTATATGTATTGTTTTCATACAAAATTACTTCATAATATAAAAAGAATTTATTTCGCATTTGCGTTTTCATCTCATTTTTCACTATGCATTAAAAATATGAACGAGGAAAGTGTGTTATTTTAGATAATACTGTAATATGGCGATTCTTTGATGCATCTTCACCCCCTCTTAAAACTATAAGAGTCTGCTGGAAATTGTATATGCTTCCAAATTACAAACTTGATTTAGAGAAATATACTGTTGTTTTCAGAAATGTCGCATTTTTTCTAATTCTTGCAGAGTTGCCGTTTTGCGCTGCCGAGCAGACATAAAAGCTTTTTGCTTAGAGAGAAGATGGCAAGGCTTTTTTTTTTTTTTTTTTTCCCATTTTAAAGTTCAACCACTCTACTTTTTACCTTTATCAAGTGTAACATGGTATTGTAGTCTGTGATTGGATATGTGTGAAGGTCCTAAATGAATGATATTATGCAATATTTTGTCACAAATGTGGAATGAGAATGAGAATTCCTTTCAATACTAAACACGAGCGTTGCCTGCTCGTATTGTTGGAAACGTGCAGATCAAACTTAGGGGTTCGCATTCTTATTCAACTTATAACAGCCTTTTAAATGTAACAAAGACATCAAGTCTCTGAGTAGGAAAGTTGCCTTTATGGCATTTAATTTAATATCTTCAGGATAATAACCATGTCTGGGGACTTTTTTATGTACTGCATTTCTTCAAGTGCCTTTACTTTATAACATAAACAGAATAAAATTCTTGCTTTTAGCTTTATTTTAAAAAAATTAGCATGAATTGCTCGAGTATGTTTTAGTTCTAGTTTCATGTTGTTTTTTTGTTGTACTTTATGTAATTGCAATGGTTTCAGGTCCTAATATTTATATACATATAGTTTCTTGTATGAGCTTGTTGTGTGCCTACTGGGCTTTTAATGCCACACTGTAAATTGAATTTTTTTTTTTTTATTTTTTTTTTTATTATTCTTACAAATATCCTTACACCCTTGATATCATCCACTTTAAGGCAAGCATACTAGCACCTGAGTTACCTGTCGTGGATAAAGTTACCTGTCGTGGATAAGCTGTAAATTTACTGGATTGAATTTGAATATAAAAAAGTTACTAACATTTTTCAAACAAAAATATTTGATATTTATCAAATAGTGTAATAATGATAATGATAAATAAAAAAAAATTCAGTCAGAGTCAAACTAGAACAAAGTGGAAAAAAAAAATGAAGAAAAAGTAAAGTTAGAAAAGGTACTGTTGCACAATTACCTTGTTACAACTTCACTCCTGTCAGTAGCTCTGCCTTTGACATCCCCCTCCTTACGGTTAAGATAATGACTTCGGGCATGGTCAGCTCCCATAATATGACAGGACGGTGTGTACAAGGCCCGAAAATGAATTCACCGCGGTATGGCTGACCGGCCGTTGCTAGCAATTCAGGCTTCAGGCTGCAACTCACTGCTTATGTCGTCAGTGTCTAATAATCCCAGCATTACTTTTATTAGAATATTACTTCATTTCCAGCCCAAAAAGTTTCACTTCTCTGTTCATTTGCTCCTAAATTTCATTTTTCTTTATTTCCATATTGATACAATATGGAAAGTCAAATACCAATAATTTAGGAGAAAATTAAGCCTAAAATCAATAGAGCAGAATATTTTTGACTTTCCTAAACTAATACATGTATACAGTATAAATTTAACATTACAAAAGAATGAATGATAAGAAATTCTATTCCTCTAAATTATCTTTCTTTCTATCTTCTATCATGGTATCAATAATCTATCATGGTATCAAGCTGGTCTTTCAATCCAGAAGGAGGAAACCAAGCAATCATCATCTACCAAAATCCCTCCTTGAATTGATCCTTCAAAGCCAAACCAATAATGTAAGAAAGTCGATTCTGAAAACAATTCAACACGCGGTAATACTAAATCAATTGTTACCAGACGATATACGCCCTCCAATTTGCGAACCTGTTAAAGCAAACTCTCAAACAGATTGACAATAGCCCACAAAATTAACAGGAGATTAGATTATGGCTATCTGGGCTCGTTGAATGAAGAAGCAGGGCAAATAGGAGGAAAGGGAAAAACAAAAATAACCTGTCATCTAATCCGTCCTCCAACAGCAGATCCTACCTTTCAATTATGGGATCAAGAGGACCCAAATTGGTTACCTGGATCATTCAAAATATTGATTCCAGTCTGACAGTGTGATAAACTACCCTACTGCCAAAACCTTGTGGGAAGGTTTAGCCACAACATACGGCAGTGGTGTAGATTCGTTACAAATATACGATTTACACAAGAAGGATTTACACAAGAAGGCAAGTATCATCAGACAAGGCAATGGGACTCTTGAAGGGCTGTGGAGCACACTACAGGGGTATTGGCAGACAATTGATCGTAGACAGCCAAACCCCATGAGATGTCCAGAAGATATAGCAGAATTCAATAAATATGTCAATGAGCAACGATTATACCAGTTTTTGACGGCAATCGATGAGAGGTTCGAATCGGTCAGGAAGGATCTTTTGAAACAGGAGCCTAAACCCTTAGTAGAGGCTGCATATGCCTCGGTTCGTCGAGAGGCCGCAAGAATCCAAGTACTGAAACCTGCTACCTCCGGCGACGATGATACATCATCAGGTGGCATAAGTTCGGGCCTGATCGCAAAACCAGTGAATCGAAGCAGAATGTCTGGACAGCAAAAGAATTGATCAGATTTCTCAGATCGTAGAAGCTCATCACAGGAAGATCGCTTAAAACTTCAATGTTCTCATTGTGGTATGAAAAAGCATACCAAGGAGGGTTGTTTTGAACTAATTGGTTACCCTGACTGGTGGGAGTATGAAAAAGCATACCAAGGAGGGTTGTTTTGAACTAATTGGTTACCCTGACTGGTGGGATAATGGGAACCAAATTAAAAAGAAAGGTACAGGTAAAGCAAATACAGCTTCGGGCAACCAAGAGGCTACCGGCAAAACTGAAAGCAGCGAGAATTGTTGTGACATCCTACCGAGTCGAGTCAGTTCATAGAATCGAGTTGAGTCAGGCCGAACCAAACCCGGTTGGGGTAGAATGGGTTTATAAGTGGATTTACTTGCACTAGAATATTAAGTTGAGGTATTAAAAATGTGGGAAATAAACTACCCACTAGGCCATATTTCAAAAGAGAAGAAGGGTCTATGCTGTTCGGCCCACTACCAAAGCCAATAAACAGGACCAAAAAGGAAGAACAAGTGGAGCGAGCCCAATTAAATTCTGCTCAGATTCAGCCCAGTCCGGAAAAAGAAAATAAATGGATTCTTGACTCGGGTGCCTCACATACCGTCACTCATGATGCTTCAGATCTTATTACCTCAGAAATTCCAGAAAAAAACTTCATACAAAGTGCAAATGGCATGTTGTCAAAAGTGGAAAATGCTAGAAAAATTAAATTCAATCCTAAAATGGAATTGGAGCATTGTCTTTATGTCCCCTCACTCTCGCATAAAATGCTGGAAAAATTAAATTCAATCCTAAAATGGAATTGGAGCATTGTCTTTATGTCCCCTCACTCTCGCATAAACTTTTATCAGTCAGTCATATTACTAAAGAACTGAATGTGTTGTTCTCATGTATCCTCAATTTGTTTTTTGGCAGGACATTTCATACGAAGGAGATCATGGGCTGAGGCGGCAGGGTTGGTACTGACTCGTTTGTGCAAACGGACGGTATTGGCGTATGTCGGATGACGTGGTAAAAAAGGGGGCTGTATTACTTGCTCATGGAACTGAGGATAGGACAAATTTGCTATGGGCATAGGAAGATTGGACATCCGGTCCGGCAAGTTTATTTTACCGATTACTTATTTCCTACTTTGTGTTTAGAGAAATAGGAACTCCTTGTTTTGAATTGTGATGAGACTTGCCATACTTGCGGAAAAGTCACCGTGTTTCATTTTCAACTTTAAACAATACTAGACTTGATAAAGCATTTAGTTTGATTCACTCTTTGATGTTTGGGGTTCCTTGCTCCGGCGACAAGTGGCGTGCTACTGGTTGTTCAATATTTTTGCGCGTGTTAATGTTGTGGATGATTCTTATCTCGTCATGACGGCTTGGCGTGTAATTTTTTAAAAGCATAAATCGTCGAGGTGGTTGAAAAAATTTGGCATTCTTCCACATTGATTCAGAGAAGAAACCCATCAATGTCCCACCGACAAAATTAAAAATTTCGTCCCCATATCTGGAACCAAGTGGGCAGCTTGCACATATGGTCAACGGAGCCCATGAAAAGACGCTTTCTTCCTTGAACAATGTTAATCCACCAAACTACATGTCCCTATAACACCACAAACAAGGAGACTGTGTTGCTGAACCGCCTGTCTCCGAGAGATAGAACCTTTCTGAAAGAGTACTTGACAACGAAGCAATGCTTATTGCAGTCCCGTGTTTCCGAAATTTTTTTCGGGCCAGTTCTGACAATGGCACTGAATATGTCAACGGAGCCATGAAAAACTTCTTCCTTGAAAATGGTCTAATCCACCAAACTACATGTCCCTATACACCACAACAAAATGGTGTTGCTGAACGTCGGAATAGAACCCTTCTGGATATGACACGAGCAATGCTTATCGAGTCCCGTGTTCCGAAATTTTTTTGGCCAGAAGCCCTTGCTACTTCCGCCTACCTTCTGAACCAGTTACCCATAAAGATTTTGGATCATAAAACACCCTTACAAGTCCTTGGTAGTCAAGTAGACGTTCCCCAAGCTTTATCTTTGCCTCCACGGATTTTTGGGTGCTCTGTTTTCGTTCACATTCCAAAAGGGGATAGAGCTAAACTAGACCCTTGTGCAATCAAATGTGTTTTTATGGGATATGCACTTCATCAGAAGGGGTACAGGTGTTATAGTCCTAGTACACGCAAGACCTATGTGACTATGGACTGTAACTTTGTCGAGACTGAATATTACTATATTGCCCATTCTAGTGGTCAGGAGGAGAACAATAGTGATCCACTAGCATGGTTGAACAATAGTGCTATCTTAGACAGTGCTATTCCAGAATCAACTAAGCTTGCAAATGAATCTATCAGACAAGAATCAGAAGGTGACACACACTCAGTACCACAAGAAGTGCCATCTTTACCCAATGTCTCTCCTTCTGAAGATGTCCAACTAGAGGTAAGTGAGGAATCACACTCCTTTAGTAATAATGATTTGATTGATACTAACTCTGAACAGGAGATCCAAGAAGAAAGATACCATCTGCCTCCAAGAAGTTTCTCGTGGGATTCCACAAGAAGGGTTACTCTTCCTGAAAGGTTACTAGAGTTTTTAGTACCCCTTGGAACATCTTAGTGAGGAGGCTAGGACCAGTGAAGCTGTAAAAACTTTCTCGCTTACCATTCATGAGGTAATTTCGAGATCAGTAGAGGAGGCAAAGCAAAAAAAGGAATGGTGGGAAGCAATGAAAGAAGAAATGAAAGCTCTGGAAAAAAAATGGAACATGGGTAACATGTGAACTACCAAATGGGAAGAAACCTGTAGGGTGCAGATGGGTGTTTACTATTAAGCATAAGGCTGATGGGACAGTTGAAAGATACAAGGCCAGACTGGTTGCAAAAGGCTACACTCAAACCTATGGCATAGATTACTCAGAAACCTTTTCTCCAGTTGCAAAGATAGACACAATTCGGGTTCTTTTTTCCAATTCGGGTTCTTTTTTCCATTACTACAAACAAAAGATGGCCTATGCACCAGTTTGATGTGAAAAATGCATTCCTACATGGGGATTTGAAGGAAGAGGTATATATGGAAATTCCCCCAGGCTTTTCTAAAAACTTTAAAGGAAACGAAGTTTGCCGACTTCAAAAGGCACTATATGGATTAAAACAATCTCCACAGGCATGGTTTGGAAGGTTCACTGAAGCAATGAAAAGATATGGCTATCGGCAGAAGTTATGGATATAAGCAGAGTAATTCTGATCACACCTTGTTTCTAAAAAGAAGAAATAATCTTGTCACATGCTTGATAATCTATGTGGACGACATGATCATTACTGTGAGTGATCACGAAGAAATAATGGAACTCAAGAAACAACTATTCAGAGAGTTTGAGATGAAGGACTTGGGAAGGTTGAAATACTTTCTTGGAATAGAGGTCCTAAGATCTAAACAAGGGATCTTTATTTCACAAAAGAAATATATTCCAGATCTACTAACCGAAACAGGTTTAGTAGATTGTAAACCTGCAGAAACTCCCCTTGAAGTCAATCATGGTTTAAAAGGCCTTGGCCTTGTGTTGAAGGAAGGAGGAGAGCCTGCCGACAAAGAACTGTATCAGCGGCTAGTTGGGAAATTAATTTACTTATCTCATACTAGACCAGATATAGCATATGCAGTCGGGGTGGTTAGCCAGTTTATGCAATCTCCACAGAAGGAGCACATGGAAGCTGTGATAAGGATTGTGAGGTATCTCAAGGGAACTCCTGGACATGGAATCTTGTTCAGAGACAATGAACACTTGGAAATAGAAGCTTACACTGATGCTGATTGGGCAGGAAATCCAAATGATAGAAAATCCACTTCTGGTTACTTCACTCTGGTTGGCTTCACTCTGGGTTTGTGGAAATCTGGTAAACATTGGCGCGGTAGCAAGAACAAAAGGGTTGGTTGCTCTTTCAAGTGCTGAAGCTGCAGTTCAGCAGGAATTGCTCAGACGGAGGCTAAAAGAGGGTATTTGGCTAAAAAAAATTCTTGATGAATTGGTTTTCCACCTCAAGGCCCAGCAACTAAAGTGTTGATAACAGCAGCCATCAGCATTCTCTGGAAATTCCTACCAACATACAGGGACAAAGGCATGTAGAAGTTCGTAGACACATTTCATCAAGGAGGAAAACTTCGAAAAGAGGGTATCAATCGAGCTTCCATTTGTGAGGGTCTGAACACCAGGTTAGCCGACATTTTACGAAGGGAGTTAAACTCAATCTTTTTTCATGAAGTATTGGGAGCAAGTTGACCATTGAAATCCCCCGCTGAATCAACTTGAGGGGGAAGTAGCAAATAGTGATACCATATGGAAGTCAATACCAATAATTTTAGGGAGAAAATAAGCCTTAAATCAAATAGAGCAGAATATTTTAAGCCTAAAATCAATAGAGCAGAATATTTTTGACTTTCCTAAACTAATACATGTATACAGTATAAATTTAACATTACAGAAGAATGAATGATAAGAAATTCTATTCCTCTAAATTATCTTTCTTTCTATCTTCTATCACATATCATATTCGTCTACTTTATAAATCTTTTTCCCCAGTAAAGTATTATTGGAACCTAATACTTCTATGGCTTGGTTTAATTTTAAAATAGAAACAAAATATACCAACTCTTATAATATCTTAAAATTAAATTTATTAAATATGAATACTTAATTTCTATTTTCAAATAGGTAGTATTTCATTGTATTTAAGGTTTTTGTTTTAAAAGATTTTGGACGAACTTTTCACAATGGGAAATAGAACAATCGTTAAAAACAAAAGATTCGTCGAGTATTCTGGGACATTCTCGACTAGGAATAGATGTTGGTGGGCCCAAATAACTTGTATGGCAAGTAGAGCAAATAACTTGTATAGCAAGTAGAGAAAATAAACAACCTGTAAATGTCCCTTCCACTGGCTCACTCTCATTAGCTCTTCTATAAATAGAGCAGACACTCTGCATACCAACACACACATCACCATCAAAGTTTCTTAGTTACAGTCTTATAGAGCTTTTCTAGTCTCTCCAGTTGCTAATCGCTTCCTGTTTTAGGAAGAGGAATGAAATTTATGCTTTTTATTGGGTGAATTATATATTTATACGAACATTTCTTTAATTAATTAATATACTCTAGTTTATATTTTTGCTTATCAGAACTTTAATTCATTTCTTGCAGATACAGATATAATTCATTTCTTGCAGATACAGATATAATAACTAGCAAGAAATATATGGCTACTCCTACTTCAGAATCAGTTCAAGATGTTGGAGACGGATTTCGTCCCACTGAAAAGGAATTGGTGAATCATTATCTCAAGCTTAAGATGCTTGGTTGTGATCACCGAGTCTCCAGGATACCTGAAATTGACATCTACAAGCATGAGCCCTGGGATCTACCCAGTAACTTCATACATTTTCTCTTCTTTTTTCTTTCCTTTTGAATTTATGTAACTGAAAGTTTATGGATTCTATCATGTGTTTTTCTTCTTCTTCTTTGGATTTTTCGTTCTTTTTTCTTGTGTTTCAGATTTCCTGAATTGTTTTCTGCTTTTTTTCCTCTGAATGAAGACCATTTAGGGGTGAACTCAAATGGTAAGGAGTCGTATTTCTTTCATAGTTGCCGCAGTGGACGACCTAGGAGGACAACAAAGGCTGGATACTGGAAAGGCACCGGTAAGAAACGCGAAATCAAGAACGCTGAGGAAGAGATTGTTATAAAAAGCATTTTTGTTTTCTACAAAGGCCGTACTCCTAAAGGGATCAGAGCTGAATGGACAATGCATGTATATAGTGCTGCTGCTAATCAGGTATATATATATATATATATACAAACACACTTTAATTGGAAGTCTCAAGTTCAGTTGTTCTATCTCTTTTTTCCTTAAATAAATAAATTCATATTGGTACAGAGGGATTTCGTTCTCTGCAAATTATTTAGAAAAGCAAAAATATATAAAAGGGCAATTGATATTACTGCACCAACAAATAATGATGAAGGTACTATACGTGCAACTGACAATGGTGAACTTGAGAGTACTATACCAGCCTCCGATGAAGGCGAACTTTGTCAGGATATGGCACCTTATGATCTTCAAAATCAGAATTCTTATCAGAAGACTGATTATTCAACCTTTTATGGTGCTAAAACATGTAAACTTATGACCTGTGAAAATCAAGCAACAGATGCTGAAATTATAGAACAGGTGAGCAAATTAAGAATAAGATTTTGACTTGCATCCATCATCCACTATCGAGGCTTTTTTTTTTATTTTCAGGTGGATTTCCATACACCAACAAATGATGATGAAACTGCTGACACAGGCGAGCTTGATAGTACTATACCAGCCCCAGATAAAGGTGAACTTTGTCAGGATATGGCACCTTATGATCTTGAAAATCAGAACTCCTGTAAGAAGACTGATTATCCAACCTTTTATCATGGTGAAACAAGGAAAATTATGATTTGTGAAAATCAAGCAATAGATGCTGCAATTGCAGAACAGGTAAGCAAAATAAGAATACGATTTTGACTTGCATCCATCATCCACTATCAAGCTTCTTTTATTTTTCTGAATTTGTTTTTTCAGTTCGATTTGGAACCACTACCAAATATGGACTTGTCCTTGGAATTTAACGAACAGAGTTGCACATTTAACTCTGCACTAGATTCATATCTGGACTTGTCCTTGGAATTTAACGAACAGAGTTGCACCTTTAACTCTGCACTAGATTCATATATGGACTTGTCCTTGGAATTTAACGAATTCATATATGGACTTGTCCTTGGAATTTAACGAACAGAGTTGCACCTTTAACTCTGCACTAGATTCATATATGCAGACAAAGCAAGACTTCTCTAATTATGATATTTGGATTCATATATGCAGACAAAGCAAGACTTCTCTAATTATGATATTTGGAATTTCTCGAAAGGAGAACAATATCAGATGTAATAAGTTTTGTTGCAGCATATATGATGGTGTTTACGCCTTCAACTCTGTATCAAAAGAGTAATTTGGTTCCTTCTAATACAGATCATATGAATGGAAGGAAATGTTAGAATTAGTATTTATTGAAGAACGTGTTTGTAAGATGTCTTATGGCAACTCAAGCGTGTGTAATAGTCGCCTGTTTCTCTTCATTGTTTTACCTAGTGTTATTTTCGTGCGAAAGTGTGCAACTCACTAGTTAGTTCTGGTTCTGGTGATTGTGGAATGGGAGTTTCAGTACTAGATTCTGCTATATGTGAATGCAAGAACAAACAGCTATAAAAACCCATAGTAATTTTGCCATTTTCTATAACTATCAACAGTGCAGATAGAGATGTAACTTCTTGCTGCATTATATGGAAGAAGACTATAGCTAATATTATTCTTTAGGCCACAACTGAGAATAATCAATCATTTACTGAAAAAGGAATCCGGCTCATTTCCTTACACCAATGTTAGAAGATAAAATTTATACAATGATCAGTAATAGTAGCCAACAGCATAACAGGAACAGAGTCCATTGCCTGTACATTGATGACCTATCTCTGCATCTGGTCCAGAATGGCGTACTGCCTTCTGCGCAATGTTGCTAGGGTAAATCCATCCAACTTGAGTCAGGCAGGAGCTCTTGTCAAATTATACCACCAAGGAGATCACAAAGCAGCCGTGTCTCGAATCAAGTTCAGATTTTGAAACAAAATATGCAGCTCAAGCGACGACAATTATAATGACAATGAGCAGAATGATCCCAAAAATCACAAGGAGCAAACAGAACTGCAAGAGAAAGATTTCATGTAACTGGTTCTTCAGGGGAAAAAAAAAACACGAAAAAAATGGAGAAGAGAATAAGTAAAATGCAAGCATTTTTTCATTTAGAATGTGCTAAAAATTTCACATCTGTGAGTCTATCCAGTATAACTCAACCACGCACTTCCAGTGGAAGCAATATATGCATAAAAAGGAAGAAATACATAGGTAAGAGAATGGAAATGATAAAATTCTCACACCAAATAATGTTTACATCAGTTGTACCGTTTTGGTGATCATTTTCTCCCTAGAGCTTAAATATCATTCACAGAAGAAGTACATTCTAAATTCTAATTACAACTTTAAGCCAAACACCTACGAAATAAAATTTAATGTACGACCCAAGAACCAGCATAATGTCAGGAATACAGGAAAAGCAAACCAAAGAAGAGCAAATTTTGAATGAATCAAACTTTACCATGGATGAGTTAGATCTTTGAATCTTCGAAGCTTTCGCAAGCTGGGAAGTAGCTTGTGCAGTTGCAGCATGAGAATTCTCAATGTTAGAACCAATATCATCTGCAATCCATAAGATTGTGCATGATAAAGAAGACGTATATTTCAAGAAACTCAATAGGGGAAATTTTGTTTTAAAAAGAATAAAATGCTGTGCAGACAACAAGACATGGAGCTTACCAATCATTACTCCTTGCTCATGTACTAAAACAGCTAGATCTTTGAAAATCTCATTTACTTCACTAATCTGTTGCTGAATTTCTTTGATCCCCTGTTCTCTTTCTTCAATTATAGCTTCATTAAATGCGATCTCATTATCCAAGAATAAAACCTCCTGTCTGCATAAAATACAAGATAAGTCAAGGGAGCATAAATGTAATGAACATAGATTTAAAATATGCAATAGGCGCTAGAACTGAATGGTTTATTGCTTTGGAAGGAACATGAACCAATTAACCAAATTTCTTACATTGCATGCCAACAAAACAAGCACAGATAAAATCTTGGGAGCAACCAAAGAGAAGAAGCAATTTACGGGTGGGCAAGAAATAGAGTACAAATAAACCATTTCTTACCTTCTAGATTCTAGGAGAAGAGACTGCTGTTCATGACTCTCAGATGAACTTACACCAGGCTCATGGGCATTATAGCTGCGCAACATTTGTCAATGATATTAGATGAAGAATGAAAATGAAAACTTGAAACTGTTACATCTAAACATTCATACATATATGAGAATGATTTATATTAGGGCCGCTACAGTTTTCAATCTGACATTCAAAACGCTGATGCAATGTCTATGGTTTTCTCACATTATAAAGGAATTTCTCATTACATGCTAACTGCCAACTGTTCAGCCATATAAGGACGGAGATTGAGTAGGCAACTAAATTTCTATCATATCAAAGAATGAAGCACACAAAAAACAGAAGTTAGAGAATTAAACCAATCAAACATATTGCAATAACTTAATTGACTCGTTAGCTTTAGGCTAGTGCCTTTAGCCCTTAAAAAGTAAATAGTAGTAAAATGTCAAACAGACAGAATCCCTTTATTTTAGTAGTTACAATGCGATGCAAAATTTCTCAACATGTATCAATTATTACGTCATTTTGATAGCTAAATACCTACTTGAAAAAGATATAAATAGCTCCAAAATGATTATGCTTAACTAATGTGTGCATGTAACGATAGAAATAGGCATACTGATTAGGCTATCATATGTCACTTCACCTCTTTCCAAACATAAATACAGGCCAAAATTTCAACAGCTCTTATGCAAGGCAAATTTGAACCAAAATGGAGAACCAAGATACTTTGGAAACATCAACAATTTGCATTCAGAATTTGAAGTGACCTAAAACATCCTAGATTTTGGCTTTTTGGTTCAACATATCCAAGACATCTCGCTGGGGGTCATTGGCTAGTGCGAGAACGATAGTCTTTAATTCGCAACCACAATGATGTCAATTTGAATCTTGACACCCACCATTTTATGCAAAGATGTAAAAGCTAGCACTATTTCCAAATTCTCCCTCCAATGACCCCAGCACATCTAGAAGTATAACACTATAACCAATAATGACCTTCCTAACATTAGGGATTTCACCATGGCACCATTGACATCTTCTACAACTTCCAACAAAAAGGCACATACGCAGTATGTTGTATGGTAAGAGTTACCTGGATGGAAGAACTTCTCTGGGAACAAAAGGAGCATACATTGTTTCCCTCTCAGCCGCAAGCCTTTGAACCTTTTGAAATTCATTAAGAGCAGTCCTAAACTGTTTTGCAAGCTTAGCATCATTAATCTTTTTGGCAGGCTGCAATCCACAGACAAAGTTTCAGTACCTAGAAAACATAAGCAGCACCTCCTAATCTATGGTCAAGAACAACTGTATATATTAGAGATAAACCAAACAGAAGAAATACTCCTTTTTGAGCACTGAAAAAATAATCAAACAAGTCTTTGATGCAAATGAATTCCAAATTAAAAGACGGAAACAAACCACTATATAGACACAGTTGTTAATGAATTAGAATATACAAAGGAATCCATTACTTCAAATGGCTGTTTAGATTACATCTGTCTCTCATCTTTAGGGGGCTAACTTAATCTCTCTTGAAGTTAATCCTCTTAACACTACACCATATAAGAGAACAGCCGTAAAATAGAAAGCATGCACTTACACTGACTTCACCATAATGATCGGCTTCACTGGCTTGCCTAAGTTTAGCAGAAGTATCTTTCACCAATTCACTAATACGTTGTCTTGTCTTGTGCCTGACGATAGAGAGAACCCAGTGGTATAAGAACCAAGCCATCAACATCAAAAAGCACAAGAAATTGCAGAAAAACGCATAACCATTTACAGCACACAACATATGAAGCAATTCAATAAGCTTATTGTCAAAATTTACCACAAATAGATCTCATTAACAAGAACCCAATACAAAAAAAAAAAAAAAAAGGACATATGAAGCAATTCAATAAGCTTATTGTCACAAATTTACCACAAAATAGATCTTCATTAACAGACCCAATACAAAAAAAAAAAAAAAAAAGCGTAAAAAAAAAAAAAAAAAAAAGGTCCTACTTCTCAAAACATCGAATTCATAACAATTCAAAACCTTCCACTAAAACCATTAGGCAGAAAGCAGAGTATCGGAAAACTTAACAGTTTCTCCCGCAATTCAATGGTGTCTTTGGGAGTTCCAAGGGAATTGACGAGGCGGTTGAGGGAGTAAACGGCGGTGTCGATTTGGAAAATTCCGGCGGCCACAGCTTGAGAGGGGTCCTTTTCTTGTTGCTTCTTCTGCTGCTGGAAAAGCTTTCCAGCCTCAAGATCTCGAAAACTCATGATGATAGCTCTGTTAAGTGAAAGAAAGAAATGGAATAAATTATGCTTTATTCTGTTTCAGATATATTTGACACGCGAGGAGGAAGAAGGGAGGAGACGAAATGGCATTGAGATTGAAGTTAGTTGTGGCTGTAGTAGTTGTTGTTGTACCGTCCAAGTCAAATGCGGAAGAAGCTTCTTGGTGGGCCCGACAATTCACAAGGGTCTGTTTGGATTTGATAATTTTAGACCGCTAAGCGGGAATATTTGGGCGGTGTTCGCTATATATTACTAATTTATTAATATATGTATATTGTATTTTGCTTCTGGACGAAACTTCCTTCTGTCTCCATTTGACCGTAAGCTAAATAACCTGGTCGGATCATAACTGGATCATGCTTAACTTGTAGGGTTAAATTGCATTTTAATCCCTAAAATTTTCAAAAAATTGAGTTCAAGTTTAGAATTCTAAAAACCATGATGGCCAAGGACATAAATTTAAAATTTAAATTAGAAATTGTGATAGGTTTCATGATCGTTTTTGGTTCATAGATGAAGTCACGCACCAGATCTAAGTAAGTTTTTTTTTCCATTTTGATATTTGAGTAGTTAAACTGATTTCGAGTTTGATTTCTCCTCAAGAAATCTTTATAACTTAGAAAATTTATTTGATTTCAAATTAGATTAAAAAAAAAAAAAGAAACACATTGTTAACCATTAAATTGATTTTGGATCAAGAAGGATAGAGCTCACAATGGGATCATGGCCTCTCCACAAATTTCCTTTAACTAAAATTTAATGTTCTGTTGCTACTAATTTCCTCCACTTCCAAACCATAAAACCATCACAATTTTATTGAATTCTTTATATATAACTTCCAAAAACCATAAAACCATCACAATTTTTATTGAATTTCTTATAGTTTATATATATATATTATTATATATACTAATATTATTATATATATATTATATATATATATATTCAAGATGTTTTTCACAAGATGTTTTTCATTTTATTTGATCTTTAACTTATTTGTTCAAACAACAATGAAATAAATTTGTTTGTTTGAATTAAACGAGTAGGCTTTATATCTGAATTTCCAAATCAAATATTATTGAATGAAAAAAATCCTCTTTAAAGTTGATCCAATAAATTATATAACTTATTAGATGAAAATGTTAAAATTACTACTGTAAATTATACTATATATTACTTATTAATCATTGAATTGTGCGATCATATCTTGATATCAATTTTAATCTTTGAGTTCAATAAACTATAAATTCAAAATTTTAGTCCAAATAACAACCCTTGGGAAGTGTTTAGAGATAATATGATATGTATCATAAATAGTGTCTTGAGAACTGGATCGATGAATGAAACAGTGAAAATAGAGAGTTCAACTTGATTTTTACATAATATTTTTAAATATATTTATTAAATAAAATGGAAAATATAGGTTTACAAAAAAAATTTTGATATCAAATAAAAAACAGTCTCAAATTCGGCTTTTTGTAAAAAGAATAAATAATTTTAAATAAAAAAAACATGACTAAATTTAATACTAAAAAATAAATAATAACCATAAATATAATATTATTTTTCACATCTAAATTTAAAATTAGGCAATTTAATTATTTTAATCAACATATTAGGACTTTAGGTTTAGAAATAAAGAGATTCAAAAACTAAAAAAAAAAAACAAAATCAGTGAGCTTAATTTTTAAAAGGCCCAAAATTAAAAACGGCCCACATGTTTTGAAAGGCCCAGAATTTGAGTCGAACTGATTTTTAGCCGGTTCGATTCGCCAATTTTTATTTCCAATTTTTACTAGTTCATGCCAATTTTTAAGACTGTTAATTTTCTTATGCAATCCAAATCAGACCACAATTTGGTTTCCAGTTAAGACCGATCGAATCAACTAGTTCAATTTGGTATGATAATATATAACTCAAAAACTAGTTCGAATTTTGGCTATGATATATTATATATATATATATATACTATTTATATATAAAAGTAGTGATGTGGAGCGAGAATATAAGAATCGGCAAAAACACCTCTATTAAATTTATGGATTTACAAAAATATTATTAAGAGTTTTAATTTTTATTGATTGAAAAATAATGGTAATTTAATTTTAAATGACTATATTAATTTTCCATTTAAATTTAAATTGTATTTAATAAAATAAGAAATTATATTATATAGCATATGAGGGATATATTAAATATGGTAATAATATAATATCTTTGACGATTTTAATTTTTTGATTGAGAAAATAGAGGTAATTTAATTCCGTTTGATTATATTATATGTAAAAAAATAAGTTAATTAGATTTAAATTATTATAAGAAATTTTAAATTGGTTGATAATGAATTTTATTTTCATGAATATTCGATTGTCAAATTATTTAATTATTAAAATTATTAAATTTCATATATTATATTTTATTAAAAAATATATATTTTTTAATTCTATGAATGCGATTAGAGTTTAATAATATAAAACTATTTCAATCAATACTTATCAATTTAATTAAAAAATAATACATATTATATATATATCTATATATATATATATAGTTATACTCATATTAAATTTCATTTATTTACCTTATAACGTTTAAAAGTCAAATATATATATATTAAATTTCATTTATTACTTATAACGTTTAAAAGTCAAAGAATACAAATAACCAGCTGAAAACTAATTTCTTAAGTAATAATTAAGTGAGACTAAAACTATAATATATACCTGCTAATTGATTTGCCAATCAGGTGTAGTTTAATTGGCCTAAAGACATAAAAAATGTAAAAAATCTTAAATCTGAGTTCTCTCCATTTACAAATATTATAATCTATTTATAAAAAAACTGATAATCTATTTATATAATAGCTAGCTTCATTTATTGTATAAATTATTATGTGGTATTTAACTAAAAAAGTAATGCATGATCTGTATAAATAAATAAATAAATAAATAAATAAAGGACAAAAAAATAAATTAAGAAACGAAGAATAAAAACTATAATTAGTTTTTGATATTTTTGAAAATAAATTTATATGATGATGCTAAACATACCCTAACCAGAAGAATCTTTGTATTGGAAGAATAATTTGAATCTTTCTATTATGAACTTCTCTTAAAACTTTATAGACTGTTGCATCCGAACTCAAAGTTCTAGTTGGAGACTGACTGGTTTCTACGGTTTTCCGGAAAATAATAGACGAAGAGCTTCCTGGAATCTCTTAAGATCTCTTGCAGCTCGTAGCACATCTCCTTGACTGAGTGTGGGTGATTATAATGACATAGCTGCAGACTATGAGAAGTCTGGTGGGCCCCCTCGCTCTAATTATCTTCTGAACGGTTTTAGGGAGTCCATAAACGACACAGGTTTATGTGAGTTGTTAACTGTCGGCTACCCTTTTACTTGGGAGGGAAAAACTAGAGATGGCAACATCATCAGAGAGAAGTTAGATAGATCTATGTCCTCTTCCGATTGGGCGTTGATTTTTCCGGAGGCAGTTTGCAAGACTCTTCTTGCTCCAGTTTCAGACCATAATCCTTTATTGATTGATATGAATCCTATCGACTACTCTAATTTGATTCGCCTTTTCAAATTTGATAATGCTTGGCTACTTGATGAGGAAGTTGATGGGACCGCGCGTACCATCCAATCCCGAATTAGAAGTTAAGTCAGTTGTTCAGAATTCTTGGTCTAAAACAGGTACAGTCAATATTATTTGCAAAAGAGACACTGTGATTGAAGACTTGAAACAGTGGGGTTATCATCGAAACAGAGATTTTTGGCGTAAGAAGCGTAATATTCAAAAACATCTGGAGTCTGATCGAGATTTATTTGATGGCGCAGATTCGTTGAGGTTGAAAGAGAAGCGGTGTAAAATTCTTGTAGAAGAGGATGTCCGGAAGCGTCAATAGGCAAAACTTTTTTGGATGAAATTTGGTGATAAAAACACCAAATATTTTCACTCTCAAACAAAAAGCGGGAGACGTGTTAACAAAATTGAACAATTGCGGTATGAGGATGGAGAAAATTTTTTGAATCCTTTGGTTATCCAGAAAATTATTGTTGATTATTTTCGATCTCTGTTCTCGGCGGATAGTGTTTCTGAACGTGCCCGTCTGCTTCATCTTGTTCCTAGAAAGGTTACACAAGCAGACAACGATTTTCTATTGGTTTCGTTTAGTAGTGAAGAATTTAAAGAGGCTATTTTTTCTATGCATCCCGACAAAGCTCCAGGCCCAAATGGACTTAATCCAGCCTTTTATCAGAAATTTTGGCACATTGTGGGCAATGAGGTGGTGGCTAGTTGCAATACTTGGCTCTCTTAAGGTATTTTTCCACTTACTCTGACTGATACTACCATTGTCCTAATTCCTAAAATTGATAACCCATAATTTGTTAAAGATTTTCGTCCTATTGCCTTGTGTAATGTCTTGTACAAAATCTTTTCTAAGGTTTTAGCCAATAGGCTTGAGGAAATATTGCCTCATATTATCTCTGAAAATCAATCTGCTTTTGTTCCGGTAAGGTAGATTACAGACAATATTTTTATGGCATTTGAGACCATTCATAGCATTAAGAGAAAATCTAGGAGTGGGACTAGAAGTTGTGGCCTTAAAATAGATATCAGCAAGGCATGTGATAGAGTCAATTGGGAAGTATTTGCGAGATATGCTTAAATATCTTGGGTTCTCGGATAAATGGATTCACTGGATGTCTATGTGTTTTTCTAATGTTCGTTATATGGTAAATGTTAATAGTAGCCAGGTGAGTCCTATTATTTTGGGTAGGGGTTTAAGACAGGGTAACCCTATTTTCCCATATTTATACCTTATTTGTGCTGAGGGTCTCTCTCTGCTTTTTTCTGAGGCGGAAAATCGTAGATGGCTTCACAGGTATAGAGTGGGTATAGAGTGTCCTAGAGTTTCCCACTTGTTATTTTCTGATGATTCGTTATTCTTCTTTGAGGCTAATGTTAGGGAAGCTACTAGGGTGAAGGATATTCTTGGGGAGTATAAAAGGGTCTGGGCAGTCTGTCAATTTTCAAAAATCGAGTATACTGTTTAGTCCTAACGTGGGTAGCGACCTTAAGGATAATATTTCTTCTATTTTAGGTGTTTCTAATCCTTTGGGTGGTGGGACTTATTTGGGTTTGCCTTCTCTTGTAGGCCGTAATAAGCTTTAGATTTTAGTTTTATTAAAGATAGGATGTGGAAAAAGCTTAATGGATGGGGTAATAGGTTTCTTTATAGGGCGGGTAGAGAGGTGCTTCTAAAATCTGTTGCTCAAGCTATCCTTGCTTATTGTATGAGCGTCTTTTTGCTTCAACTTTCTTTATGTAATGAACTTCAAATTGTGATGAATAGATTTTGGTGTAATGGTAAGAAGGAAAGTAATAAGGGTATTAACTGGATGTCTTGGAATAATATGAGTAGTCACAAAAGGGAGGGTGGTATGGGATTTAGGGACTTGCGCAGTTTTAATATCGCCATGCTTGGTAAACAAGGATGGGGGCTTGCAATTGAACAAACACTCTTTTCTATGGGATTTTTAAAGCTAAATACTTCCTACGAGCGGATTTCTTAAATGCTTCTCTAGATAATAATCCTAGCTTTTTTCGGAAGAGTGTTTTGGCTTCAGTTAATATGTTAAGACAAGGTGTTAGGTGGAGGGTTGGTAATGGTGAGAATATTTTGATTGCTAGTCATCCATGGATTCCAAAAATTGATTCTTTTATGGTGGAGGATGGAATGAGTTTTATTCATAATTCAATGAGGGTTTGTGATATTTTAATTGGCGAGGCTAGAGATGGGATATTGAAAAGATTATGAATTTATTTAGTGTTCGGGATGTTCGAGCCATTCTAACCATTCCCTTTAGTGTACATAATAGAAGAGACTCTTTGATGTGGCATTTTGATAAAGGAGGTAAGTACACAATTAAATCAGGTTATTATGTGGCTAGAAGGGTCTTAGGTAGAGAACCACCTAGATTAAATGGGGATGTGCGGAGCAAAGTTTGGAATCTGGATATCCCTCCTAAAGTTAAAGATTTTATGTGGAGGGTTATCCGGGGTGTGATTCCTACAAAAGAGGTTCTTAGATTGCGGGGTTTGGCCTTGAATAATGGTTGTTTATTTTGTGATATGGATGAGGGAGTTGATCACATTTTGGTCCATTGTTCTAGGGCTGTGGAATTGTGGAGAATTAGTGGTTTTGGGACCACTGCTGCAGATTTGTCTTTCTCTATTTTTTTGTGCAGATTTAGAAACGAGAGGGAAAGAAGCTGCAAATTTATCTGCTATTCATGTTTGGAAGTTGTGGTGTTCCAGGAATGACTTTCTGTGGAGCAAAAAGTTCATTTCGCAGCTCAAATTCATGGTATTGCATCCTCCTTCATGCATGAATGGAAGTCCATGTTACTTACACTAAGAGGAACCCACTCACTGTATGCTTTTCATGGCCCTTATTCAACATCTCTTAACGGCTTGGATGATTGTAGTCCTTGTTGGCAAGCTTTTGTTGATGGTGCAACCTTCCATGCTCAAGACTTAATCGGCTTTGGTACAGTAATAGAAGATATTGAAAGAGCTTTTATTCAAGCTGTATCAGGCTTGCAAGAAGGAAATGTTGACCCTCGCATTGTCGAATCAATTGCTCTTCGCCATTGTTTATTGCTTGTGCTAATCTCCCTGTTGCTGGTTTTATTTTTTCAAACTGTCAAGTTTTAGTTCATGCCCTTTATTCCTCTAGAGACGATAATTCTGAGTTTGGTATGCTTGTTTTGGATCGTAAACGTTTACTTGAAAGTAGGCTTGATGTTTAAGTCAAGTGGTTTAAGAAATAAGCTAATATTGGTATTCATAAATTTATCAGAGTATCAATTTATTATACTCGTTTCAACATTTGAGATTATATCTCTGATATATTATTGGATTTTTATACCTTGAATTAATGAATATATTTTTTTTAAAGAAAAAAAGAAGAAGAATCTTTTATTAGAGCGTATTTTTCGGAATTGTTAGATTCAATCGGAATCCAAACTAATGAGGTCAAGTTTTGAAATTTACTTGAATTTCTTTTAATTAAAAAAACAACAAAATAAAAAAAACCTCTAAAGTGTAAAAACCTCGAAAATGAAAATCGCGTGACCACGTTCTGTCACCGTTGTTTACACGTCACCGTTCTGTTCCGATTCTCTACGATCGCTGTTTTCTACGCTGTCAAGCATCAAGCTATCTGCGATTGTACATTTTGGACACTAATATCCTTTTCTCAAATCAGTTACAGAGTGTACAATCTTTAGGGGCGTGAAACTCTGGAAGTTACCCAAGGCCATATAACAGAATAAATGTTCTCCACATTCCTTAATCTCGAAAATAACTAATTTTGTTGGGTAAAAAATGAAAAATCACTGATAAAACCCTTTTCAACCTTTTCTCGCCAAATTGAAAGGACCATATTTTGTCTTACCAAAATAAAAGAGTTCAATCTTTTGGAGGTTTGTTTGATCGCTGGTGTCTGAAATCACGCTTCAATGGAGGTTAGTACTGAACATAATTTCTTTCCTCTGTCAATTTTCTTTTGTTAGAGTCAAGCTTCCTTTTTCCCCATCTTAACCATATATACTCTTGAGTTGGTCTATAAATTCCTTATCTATTAATAAATCCAAGGTTTGAAAATGGTAAGTATAGGAATAAACATTTAATGGGTTCTGGGTTTATTAATGCTTCATCTTTTTCTTCCCTTTTTCTGGTTTTTTTACGAGATCCAAATAGGATTCTCTGAGGTACATCTCAATAGTATCAAACCCAATGTTGACTACAAATAGCATTTTTTTTTTTTTAAATGTTTGATGGTTTGATAAAACATTTAAATGAAGGGAAGTAATTCATTAGAAACTTCAACTTGATATTGGGTTATGTAATTAGAGTGTCAGACAGCATATGTTTCTGCTGCGGTGATCCTTCAGGGATTTTTTATTAATATGGCTAAAAACAAACAAATGGGATAGTGAGTTTATTGTTTTGCATCTGATCTATTTGCTCCAGATATCATTCTGGATGTTTATTATCCTTTTTCTCATTGATGAATTTGTTTTATGAAATTTGATCAGGATTTACTTTTACATTTATACTGTTACAAACTTTTTGTGCATATTGATTCTAATGGTAATATCCAAATTTTAGTTATTCTAAAAATATGTATTTGCATTTACCTTCCAACCACCCCACCCATCCCTCCTCTTTTTTATGCTATATGTTTAGCCAGTTTGGTGGGTTTATGTTTTGTTTCTCTTCCTCCTTGTCATTGCAGATAAGAACAGTGAAAGTCAGCAATCTTTCTTTAAGTGCAATAGAGCAAGATGTAAAGGAGTTCTTTTCCTTTTCCGGTGAAATTGATTATGTTGAACTGCATGGGTTAGTTTTTCAAAGCTGTTTCACTTTAACTTTGTATATTTGTTGGCTGCTTAGCTGTTGAATTGAAAATTTTGGAATTTTAGGGTAGTTTTAGGTACAGTTGCAATAAGAAATGCGATTAGTTGCTTGTCGTTGGGTACTAATAAATATGTTGTAATTTCTTTTTCAGTGACACTGAGCGGTCTCAAATAGCATATGTCACCTTCAAAGATCCACAGGGGGCCGAAACTGCGGTTCTTCTTTCGGTGAATTTACATCTTGATACCTTTATAGTTGTTTGTCGTTCATTCTCAACATAGATCAAATTAACTGTTTCTATTGCACAATGAATATATGGTTATAATAAAGTGACTTGTGAGATTATGAAATGTAATACAAATAATGTTATGCTTTCACTGTTCTCTTGAGGTGCTTTAATGAAATTTATGGCTTGATTTGTGATTTTCATCCAAATTGCTGAACTTTCATTGATTTCTGAGGCTAGTATAGTTTAATGTTTCTTGAGATGGTATATTATTGGTCACATGCTTCTGGAAGCAGATCTAAGATTATTGTAGTCAAAATTTCTGAAAGTAGCACCAAGTCGTTCTTTTTAGACAGTTTTCTGAGACTGAGAAACAGGGTAAATGCAAATTGAACAAAGCAGTTATGGAGCTCTTGTTGTAATATATGCCTTATCCTGAAACTGTCTTACTTCTAATTTGTGAATTGATACTTGACTCATACTATCTATTGGTTGTGCACTTCGGTAGCACTTTCTTGTTGAAATACCTGGTATTTGTGGCCAAAAATTTTCCTTCTAAGATACTCCATTGAGACAAAATTTGGCCTGATGTTCTGTTGTCTTTCACTTTCCATTTTGCTTGTGTATATGTTTTGGAGAACTTGTTTTGCTGAAAAGTTGACATGAAGATTGATCACTGTCAACTAATTGGAGTAAAAATGGTTAGATCCTGTTGAATTGTACTTAATGATAAGCATGCATGCCTTTTGTATCATGGTCTTAAAGCCACTGGTTTCTCTTATTGATAAGCAACTGGTCAATCATGATAAACTTGTGCTCCACATCTTGCACTCCTTCTAGTTGATTTTTCATTTTCATGTTATGTCAGACACCTTTTGATGATTTTCCTCTTGGTTGATTAGCTTGTCCATTCCTAATTTGTTCCTTTATTCCTGCAAGAAATGTTGGCTTCCCTGATGCTATTGCAATCTTGCAATTCATGGGCGTCCTCAAAACTTAACGTCTAATTTGAGGAACCTAATGTATATCTTTTCCATTATTGTTTTCTTTCTGATTTTCTTATCTCTCACTCTCTCTTTGTTTTAATTTGTTTATCCTAATAGACAGTAGATTTTCTTGTGAATTTGCTTATGAGTGTGATTAGCTCCTTTTATGTTTACAATATTCTGCCTGAACTTGTTATCTTTTCTGATTTATCTGCTTGGTACTTTTCAGGGTGCAACAATAGTGGATCAGTCAGTTACCATAGATCTGGATCCAGATTACAGGCTTCCAGCTGCTGTTTCAGTCCCAACTACTGTAAATACTATTGATCCAGCCGATAAGAATGAATTATGACATCAAGGCGGTACTTTTCAATTTACTTGCTAAATAATTTCTGGGATATAAATGGTCTGATCTGCGCAGGTGACAGAGAACAGAACTGCATCGGGTGCTGAATCTGCTATCCAAAAGGCTGAGGATATTGTAAGCAGCATGCTTGCCAAGGGCTTCATTCTGGGGAAAGATGCTGTAAACAAGGCAAAGGCGTTTGATGAGAAGCACCAATTCACATCAACTGCCACTTCTAAAGTTGCTTCTTTGGATCAAAAAATTGGTTTCACTGAGAAAATTAGTGCCGGCACAGCCCTTGTCAATGACAAAGTGAGGGAAGTAGATGAGAAGTTTCGGGTTTCTGAGACGACGAAGTCAGCCTTTACAGCTGCTGAGCAAACAGTCAGCAATGCCGGATCTGCTCTCTTGAAGAACCATTACGTATTAACTGGTGCTTCATGGGTTACTGGGGCATTTAGTAAGGTTGCCAAGGCAGCAGGTGATGTGGGGCAGAAAACAAGAGAGAAGGTTTTGGCCGAGGAAGAACAGAGTCAAAGAGCAGTAGGATATATCCCAATTCACGAGTCTGACTCTCCAAATATAAGTCAACATATGTCCAGGGGCTTGCGATGATGATAATGGTCCTTTGATTAGCCAAAGGCTCTGTAGATATCTTCATAGGGAATTTGGATCTGATCATGTGAACATTACTTGTTCCTTGTTATTTTGGAAGTTGTTAATTCGGGAAAATTGTCGAACTTGTTATGTTTGCTTTACAACCATAAAGTCAAAAATTGATTTGTCGTATGCTTTTGCTTTTCCAATCATGTCTAAACGCTATTTAACATTTGTATTTAATACCTCTTTCAAATCAGCTTTTAATTAGTGGTTTTTTTTTTTTTGGTTATAAATATAGATTTCAGCTGATTTCGGTGTATTTATTTGCTTTGCTTTAATGGCTGTGCCTGTTTGGTTAAATTAATGCGCAGCTACCATTGGATGTGAAATCTTGAATCTGGATTTTTGGAGCAAAAGTGTTTTTATTGATTCAGTTGTCCATCTTAGTAATAGGATTTTATGAGTAAAAACTGCAGTTAGAGATATTCTTTATAGGACCTAAGGAAAATATTCAAAGAAGAGGGAAGACGGGTTTGAACGCTTGATTTCTTACATAACAAGCACCAATCCAATCCATTTTCCCCTCAATTGTCCTTTCCACAGTAAAATTTCTAGTAATTCAAGGCAACAGATGATTTGTAAATGCAAAACTGACACACTACAGTTTAAACAAGAACAGAAAAACATGTATTCTATAGATCCTGCAATATCTTTTTTAAAGCACTCAATTCATCCTGCTTGGTGCCTAAAGGAAAGAAAATAAATACAATCAATAGCTTGACATTAATTTTTTTTTTTTTTTGTTCTAAAAAAGGATAAAAATAGATGATTTACCAATGTCTTTTGGAAATTAACAATGAAAAAAAAAAAGAAAATAAAATTGATTTCAATACCTTCAGCTCCAAGAATTGTCAAAAGCAGCAGAGGTAATAGCTTGAGCAAATTCTTGAAAATTGATACACCCATCACCATCAGTATCTGCCTCCTTGATCATCCCTGTCAACTCTTCTGCTGTCAAAGCATGCCCTAACTTAGCCATGGAATGAGCCAACTCGGCCGGAGTTATATACCCATTTCCATCTCTGTCAAACATCCTGAATATCTTCTTCAACTGATCTTCTGTGTATGGACACTTAGACGGAATGAGGTCAGGCTCCACAAGAGCTACAAATTCTGAAAACTCAATTAAACCATTGCTGTTCTTGTCTGCCTTTTGTATCAACGCCTCTAACTGATCTTCGCTTGGTTTTAGACCAAGTGATCGGAGTAAGGATCCCAGCTCCAGTTGCGTCAAGCTACCGTCTTTATTCCGATCAAATGACCGGAATATTTCTCGTAGCTCAGCCAATTGCTCGTCGTCAAGCTTGACCGGATCTTTCCCACTCATATCGCTTTTTCTTAATTCCCGGAATCTTGATTTCTTATATGTACATGCATATATATATATATATATATATAAAGCTTGAATCTCACCTTTACCTACTATTTTCTTCCATTCTTTGAACTTCTCCGAGAAAGATTAATCAGACCAGATCATAGAATCAAGATTTGAATCCTTATCTTGGATAAACTTAATTTGTAGTTACAAAAGGAAATCGCTTTCTATAAAAACCTTCAAATCCCAGATTGTAAGAAATTACTTTCTGTATAATGAAAACTAATTCTTTTTTCTTTTCGTCAGATCATTTCCTGTAAAACTTTCCAAGTTCCAATAAAGACTTCAAAAAATATAAAACACATCATTTTCTGTATTATATGTGAATCTTTTTTTTTTTTCTTTCCTCGAATATGTTTGCGTCTAATTTTTTTCCCCCTCTCTTTTGTCTTTGGTTCTTGGGATTCAACGTTCTTGATCCTTTGAACTCGTTCTTGGGCTGAATTTTTGGATCTAGAAAATGGCTACGTGCATGATCGTGACTTAATGGAATTTTCTAAAAACTTACCTAAAACAAATATTAAATTAAATTAAATATTAAGTAAATAAAAAGACATTTTCGAGACTCAATATTTTGGAACATAAAAATATGGTATAGGACCTTGAAAGAGGAGTTGTTGATGCTGTTGTTGCTAACCTGCCTGTGTAGATGATTTGCCAAAGGTTCCTGCTCTTGTCTTTTTGTGTAGTTTTAAAGGAAAAATAGAACATATTATCCTATAGAAAATTAAAAAAAAAAAGGTATATATGTTGGATGAGATAATGTTATTTATTTATTTTGATTTATGGCTTTGGATGTTTCAGTTTGGCATATCTCAAAATTAAAAACCTTCCTAATCTCTTAGGACCTTGTCGCTAGAAAGATTTCTTGCCAGTAAGATTAAGATTGAATATTGGAATATTGCAAATATCATGTCCAAAATTAATTAATTTATATAATTGGCATGGTGAATAATAATAATAATAAGCATGGTGAATAATAATAATAATAAAAAAGACATTAAGGCAACGATTACCGTGCCTTATAGGTTTGAAGCTCCATCGGTAAACTTTTGCTCAGCTCGAAATTTGATGAATTTGAAAAATTTAATAAACTACTTGAACTTAACTCATGGATGCTAACTTGAGACTTGAGTTTAATTTAACTCGAAATTACTTTTTTCAAGTCAATAAAGCTTAATAAAGATCAGTAAATCTCTTTTATATAATCTCTTTTATATATATATATATATTATATTATTAATTATATTTTATCATATAATTTATATTATATAATTGATAAAGCTTTGAATAAATTTTTGAAACCGAATATTATTATATTCAAAACTGATTTTTTCCACTTAAGTTTTGGGCTAAAAAATCTTCCTCAAAGGAATACTTACGACCCCTTCATTGTGTTCAATCGGAATCCTTCCTCACCATAATTATATAATAAAATAATAATTTTAAATAATTTTTTTAAAATAGATGCTTAATAATAATAATAATAATATTAATAATTTTTTTAAAAAATAGATGCTTTAACTGAAAGTAACTTTTGTATAATTGGTGTTTGGTTTATCTATAGACTAAACGAATTCGATAAAATTATTTGGTATATAAATAATGGTTTTAGTCTTTTTACTAAAAAAAATAAAATAATAAAAATTGTCAAAAATTAATTTAATGTATCTCATACACCAAATATACGTATGTATTTTCTATATATATTATGTTAGGTTATTATGACTCGGCCCATTTATATATTATGAAATAGTCTCATACGCCAAATATATTTATTTTTTATAAAAATTGTCAACAATTAATTATTAATTTCATTTCTCCTTGATCTTTTAATTAATAATTGAAAAATATTTGATTTTATTAATAATTTTTAACTAGTAATACCAGTTTTTCAGCATAACAAATTACTACTTCTAACATTAAGGTCTAAATGTTATTCAAAGATGAAAATTTATTGCTGATATGAAACAGCGACGATATCCAGGATGCGTAAAAATTCCGACACTAAAAGTTAGTATTAGCGGCTATCACAAACATTTCACAGCATCATAAAGTATTAATTTCTTTTTATCAGTTCATAAAAGTATTAATTATTAATATTTGGCAACACTATCACATAATCTTTAAAAATTTGCACATAATTAATTATTATTTTTAACAATAAGCATGAAGTAATATTAAATTCACACTGCTAAGTCCAATTCTGGAAAGATAAATTTATTATTTAATGTGATATAAATTTTAATATTTTCTTTACTCTATTATTTTTTTTTCTCTCTTTTCAACTAAAGAAAAAAAATAAAATAAAAAGTGCATGTTCCTAGCTTTACTTATTTTTATTTTCTAATTTTAATATTTAAAATAATAAAAAAATCAATCAATAAAAAATATTTTGTATCAAATTGAAAATTAAGTTATTTTAAAAGAAAATAAATTTTCATTTAAAAAAAATATTTTATAAAAAATTGACACAATTACTATAATCTTATCAACATAGATTTAGTAATATATTGATGATCAATAGTGACCATTGTTTTTTTTTTTGACATTGATCAATAGTGACCATTGTTGATTAATTTTAATCATCATTAGTTATCGGCAACCGCCTTTAGCGCTTAATATTCGACAACCACCGATTTTTGTCATTATCACAGTTTATCATATCATACATTTTTTCTCAACAATAATTTTTTGAATTTCAAGATTATCATTTCTATGAATTTATATTGCAACCAAATATTCCCTCCGTCTACAAATTATTTAACGTCATAATATGACGATGATTAAGAAAATAATTTAATTCTCTTAAATTAAAGTGTAGCCTTTAAAAAATAATAAAAAATAAATATTACATTTAACATAAACAAGAATGAAATTGAAAAAAAAAAATCTTAGTAATGATTTTGGATATTCTCAAAACGACTCACGTTGTTGAATAAAAATATTTGCGGCCAAAAGCAGTAAGTTGTTTGAAATATATTTTCAAAAAAGATAAATTATTTTTCAAAAATAAATAAAATTTGAACCAACAAAAAATAAAGTAAAAACCAAAATTAAACTGAAGCTAATAACATTCGGCTTGGGGAGGACTTCGAACCAAAAACGGGAAGTCATGGATTAGCTCGCAAGCATACAAGTGTACAAGTGCAGAGGTGGGACCAACGTATTCTGATCGATGTGGTGTTATAATTTAACGGGCAAGTCTTATCCACATGTTAGGCTCAAATTATTACTATAGAGGACAGAGTGATTGTCCTGTACGGTTGACTCGATCCAAACCAGATAATTCTGACGGTTAAAGTTAGAGCGTGACAATAAAAGAATCAATTTGGATCCAAAGCGAACAATTCTTCTAATGATTGAAATCAGGATATGACAATAAGAGAATCAATTAGATCATTCCCAAGTATCCATGTTAGATGATTCATATTAAGAAGTAACGTGACATAATTATAAACATATGATATACTATATGACTTATCCTGAAATTAATACCAAGATTATCCACTAATAGATATCAGCAATGTAGCACGAATAGTTAAACCAAATTAATAAACTCTATATCATATTAAAGTTGAAGGCTAGAAGTCAAGCTTTATTAAACTCAGATTAACTCGTTTATAATTTATATCTGAGTTGGAGTCAAATTTATTTATAATTTATAGTTAAAAAAATTTTTATAATTTATATCTGAGTTGGAAGTCCAAATTTAATTTTATAATTTATAGTTAAAAAATGTTTTTATTTTTGTTTTTGCTTCTTTAGAAGCTCGAACTTAAATGAATTTTTTTCTAAGTTCAACTTTGAATAGATTATAAACGTGGCTCATTTATTTGCATAATAATATCTCATATATAAGGGTGGCCATATTACGGTTTCGGGAACCGGAACCGTCGGTTCAAACCGGTCCCGAACCGTAACCGGAACCGGTGGGAACCGTAACCGGTCCGAACCGGAATCCGAACCGGAGATTTTCGGTTCGATTTCGGTTCCAGTTTTGATGGAACCGCAACCGGCGGTTCCAACAAACCGGTCGGAACCGGATGGAACCGCAGGTTCTCCGACCGGTTAGAACCCGCGGTTCTAGCCGTTAAAACTGTCAGTTTTTTGTTTTTTTTTTTTTTAATTTTGTTGTGCTGTTGTGAAACTCTCTTAAAATTACCCCTCCCAACACCATAAACGGATATATACGGCTAGTTTCAACGGGTATTTTTGGAAAACATAATTTTTGGAATTATTATAAATACCTCAATTCATTTAAATTCCATCATAAAAAATCTCTACCTCTCTCTACAATATACTATCAGCTCTACTACACTCTACTCTATATATTCTCTCTACTCTACAATCTCTCTTATTAGGTTATTTAATTCTCATCTAATTTTTTTTTATTCAATTTTCCAAAATTAATATCTTATTATCATATAATGGCAAGTGGAGGAAACTCAAATTCGGGTAAAGGGCCAAGGAAAAGATTGGAGAAAACAATATTCATCTATCCCTACAAACGACATCTTTGATTTCCAACTCCCAACCATTTAATTTTGAGGGATATCCAAATGAAAATTTGGAATTCCAACTCAAGAATTCCTGAAATTTAATAATGAGCAATTACAAAAAGAGGAAGAGCAAGAGCAAGAGCAACTGAGCACAAATTGGTTGGAAGAGCCAGACACAAGTTCCGACATATTCGCCATTTCATTTCAACGAAAAAAATTCAAAAGGTGAGAAAACTGGTACGATGTAATTTGCAATTATTGTAGAAAATCCTTATAAATTTTAAACAAGCGGGCGGCTAAATGGAATCATTTCTGGAAGCAATTGGGAGACCAAACTCCAACAAAAGATAGGATTGAATTCGGTCCTCAAACAACAAATTTCCGGGTACGCATCTTGCTAACCTTTCTTTATTTCAAATATTCCTGAAAAAATACAAAAAAGAAGAATTAGCAAAAATGATTTCTATGGAACATTATCTTTTTAGTTTTGGTGAAAAAGTAGGTTTTAAATAATTATTGTCAAAAAATGTTTTAAAATCCTTCTGCTAAGAGTACCAAGAAATTAATGTAAAACGAACTATTATTTGTTTTATATAATAAAGGAAAAAAAGAGTTAGAGCTTTTATTTTTTCTTCAAATGAAAATTCATCGTTTTCAGATTTGTTGTGATATCTTAGAGTGCATCATTGGCAAATTGGCATTCTTATATGGGCAATTACAATGTCATTGGATTGATGATGAATTGGAAAATTCAAAAAAAGAATTAATTGCATTTTCGTGTTTTTGATGATAAAAACATAGCTGCAAATAATATTTAATAGAATAATTGTTTCATTTTAGATGAATATAAGTTGGCCAAAAAATTTTTTTTCAATTTTCATTTGATAATGCTTGTCTGCTATACTAAATCAAATTATTAACTTAAAAAAATATTTTGTGAATCAAATATTTGGGTGGAAAATTTTGTTCATATAAGATGTGCATGCCATGTTTAAATTTATGTGTACAAGATGGTTTTAAAAAATTTCTTGAATCTTTTAGTTCTCCAAAAATTAAAAAAGAAGCCT